ACTTTAGTTCTTTGTCAATTTTTCTCGAATTTCGATTCTATATGGCGTGATTTTATTTCTCGTTGTTTACAGTCCTGAACCTTTACACTCGATGTTTCTTCTATCCCATAGAGCTCGTTGAATACCCCCTCTAAATACCCTCTAAATTAAAAAATAAACAAGGTCATATTAGTCAAGCAGTATACAACAGGGCTAGACCTGTTGGTTCAAATGGGTTCTATATATGGATTGCCAAAGATACATAAAAAAGACATACCACTTCGACCTGTTCTATCTGCCATAGGCACATTTAACTATGGGCGTAGTAAGGAATTAATAATAGTTTTATCGGATATTACAATGAACTCCAACATTGTCAAGGATAGTTTTCCTTTGTTCTTTCGAACAATGACATTGACTCAATGATCATAGCTGGCTTCTTATCGAGTTTTCATCTATCTATGACCTTTACTTTCGAACTAGAAGACGACGACGGTTTCATACCATTTCTTGATGTGAGAGTCGCCCGCTTAAAATCAAGTTTCACTACAACTGTGTATAGAAAGCCAACCTTCACTGGACTTCTCACACGTTGGGATTCTTACGTACCCACGTCATACAAATGGAATGCTATAAGTACGATGACTTATAGAGCAATTCGCATATGTTCAACATACCCGTTGCTGGATAAAGAGTTTAGGATAATTCGAGAACTAGCCAGAACAAACGGTTATCCCAACAGTTTCGTTCAGAAAATTATTAATGAGAAACTATATCAATATTTTAATCCAGAAGGAACTATTAGCACGGTGGAAAACGAAAAACTTGTCTTCAAAATACCATACTATGGACAAGCGAGTAGCACATATGGTAATAGAATCTCAGCAGCTGTACAGAAGAACTACCCTCTGAAAAAAGTATTAGTAGTATATGATACTCAGAAACTTAGCAAGGGATTCGGCACTAAAGATTAAATTGCTATTGTCCTACAATCTGGCTTTGTTTATAAAGCCACATGCCCTGTTTGTGCTGAATTTTATATTGGAAAAACATATAGACATTTTTGTACAAGAATGGATGAGCATCTTAGTGATCTGGAAAAAGCTATGGAAAATTCACAACCAATGGTAATGACATCAAGTTCCGCTATTTTACCCAGTAATTCAACTAACTGTACAGTTTCGAACATCGTGTCGAGCGGCAGAATCACAACGGTTAGCGGTAAAATTAAAAAACATAGCGATAAAACATCTACAAATACTAGTCGTGTCTCAATACAAATTTGCCAACGGCGCCCAGTTACTCGCTCTCAGACGGGTAGCTTACCATTGCGAACGGAAAAACTTGATGCAGCTGAGGTTGAAAAAACATGCAGTACTTTATGTGATCTAAAACAAAATACTGCATATACACCAAAATCAGCAAGAAGCAAACATTATTTAACCACAGGCCACGCCATCACAGGCAATGACTTTGGAATAGTGTTAAGGGAAACACATCTTTATAAACTACTAGTAAAAGAATCGCTAGTCATTAGGGCAATTGCCCCCTCTCTTAATGGCACAGATCGTTCCGTATCATTATATGTATATTCCAATGGTATTCAACAAGCTCTATGGGATAGAAGAAACATCGAGTGTAAAGGTTCAGGACTGTAAACAACGAGAAATAAAATCACGCCATATAGAATCGAAATTCGAGAAAAATTGACAAAGAACTAAAGTGAAAAGTGAAGAATAACAAAATGGAGAATTATAGAAATAAAATAGTAGCAATCTCTCTCTCTCTCACTCTAAAAAAAAGGCGTAGTTTAAAAAATGTTAAAGGGTTTAGGAAAATGAAACCATACAGAACGAATAAGGGTTTATGAGTTTAAATAAAAAAGCGTTTAGGAAAGGGTTTAGCAGCTTTTCCAAACCCTTATTCGTTCTGAATAGTTTCATTTTCCTAAACCCTTATAAAGCGTTTAGGAGAGGGTTTAGCAGCTTTTAAAAATTTTTATTCGTTCTGTATAGTTTCATTTTCCTAAATCCTTCTGGGAAAGGTTTACTAATTTTGTTCATTCGTACAGGTTCCGAATGGCTCGGAATATCAAGACAACTTATACGATTAACCAGTACGATCAATCAAATTTCTAAGCAGATCGTTGTCACGTAAGGCACTTTCTTTACCTAATAATGCCTTCACTCTGGGAAAAATCAACTATGCAAGAGTCATTTCTTCCGGCACACCTGACTCAAATTTGAAAAGCTTAACACATTACAATATGAGGCTGGGCGCGCCATCCTAGGAGCGATGAAAGGTATTTCATACGAAAAAGTTGTTCTGAACTCAGGTGGGCTCGCTTTTACTGAAAAAAGGTGAGAATTCAAATATTGTAAGACAACATAACAAGTTCGATGTTTATCAACTGTGTCTTTTCTGCAAAGTGATAAAAGGACAAGTACCCCTTAGTGATTTATTACCGCCTCAGACGCCCGTAAAGTGGAACAATAAGTATGCACTAATACCAGTATACGGACAATACTGATGTCGAAAATAATTTTTTTAACAGTTTCAGGTAGGGTCTTTCACATTAAAAGAGGCATTTTTTGAGTCTCGAACATGAAATGAATCTCAAAGATCTGGACATACAAACTATTTTTGAGTCATTACCGATGTAAATGAAAACTGCATCTAATGGTATATAAGCTAGCCGCCTTCGGCAAAGTATTTCTTAGTTTCTAAAAGTCGGACATTAGTCTCTTTCTTGCGTCATACATTGGTTGAGTTCACCCAGATTTTTTCAGCGAAAAAAAACGCAAGGTTACGCCCTACATTTCAGTAAAATTCTTGGAACTGACCACTACTTAGAAAAATTTCATAAATATATCGATTTTACTTAATTTCCTTGATAATAAATAGTCCGTCTAAAACTCTATTTAGTCATTCTTTTCACAACTTTTACGTAAACTCATATTTTTGATTTGAGTATGCAATTTGCATTAAATCAACCATTAAATGTAACCTATGTTAAAAAGAATTCCTGTTCTTACGCTATCTGTCGCCATTTTCTTTTTTTAAATATAAAAATGGTTTAATATTCACAACAGAAACGAAATAACTGGTGTGTATAAAAAAAAGAAAACGAGAGAAGTGTGAATATTTCTTCTACTGTTTATATTTTCTTTTACAATCCGGTTCTTCATTTATTCTCTCTCTCTCACACACACACACACATACATCGTGGACTAGTGATTCCATTGGAGGATGTTCATTTCGACGTCTGTTCAATTGAACGAAGAACAAAATTTATTCTTTATTTCACTTTTTTTCTTCATTCGAAACAAAAATATAGAAGTTATCAACTGAATGGATAAGCATTGCTGTAGTATATAAAAAACTTAGACTGAATATAATTCCGTATAATAAAAACACTCATGTTAGAATCCCCACATACACTTAATGAGTGTGACTTTCAGACGAGTGTGGCAAGGGTATGGCACATTTAGTATTTTTCCTATATATTTTCCCCTTTGACGATTTGATCTTTTTATCAAAAGGTTTCTTATTCGATTTTCTACAAAACTGTGTAATTAAGTGATGCATGTTTGAAATCTAGCTTTTATAAACTCAATCCAAAAATTTGGTATGTTAAAACAATGAATAGTTTATATTTTCCCGAGTAGTTGAATCATTGCTGCCAGCAGCTTCTAGAACATTTTTTTCCCAAGTAACAAATTAAATGTATACCTTAACTGGGACATATACCCACGAGCCTCTGGTAACTTCAGCGGCGTCTATCCCCACCTAGATATCTCAGGTATTTTATACCATCTCGGAGGTTCGATCTCTCAGTGGACCACCTGAAAAATGAATGAAAAAAAGAAAAGAAATGGAAAAATGCGTCCCACCTTACTTTTGTATGAGGCATTGTGTCTCGAACATCCCATAGGGTAACGTGGACCAGAAACTCCAACCACTGAGGCACCAGTGTTTTTAATGATTTGTGGGTCTCGCTTGAACAAAATGGGTTTCCACTTTGAAAATTCGATTTCCACTTCGTTTTTAGCAGGGAAAACATGGAAAATGTGGTGGTAAACTGTGGAAACTCACTTTGCTTAAAATTCCTATTAAGAACACCGCCAGGCACAGTCTTACGCATCATCAGTTCATATAAATTTTTCATGAGTAGAATAGAGACTTGATATCTAAGCACTTCATTTTTAGGATGCCGTCAAAGCAAAGATGGAAAAACGTTCCACATGGTAGCATTTCCGAAAAAAATTCCTGTGAAAATATAAGTAAGTATAAATACGCAGTCAGCAGGGGGTTGGCCTTGTCATTTAATTGTAAGTATGAGATGTCTTTGTCTATAAATGACCCTTTAAGTATACTGAATGAGTGTGCTCCAGACATTGGTGGTGCGACAAATAGCGATTTTCTTTTCTTTTTCTTTTCTTATTCACGTTATACATAGTGTGTGCTCACGTTGTGCTCGAGTAATCGGGAGGGCCTTTACGCCAAACAACATTAGTCGATTTTTCGTTTAACACAGCATCACAATCGAGTGCATAATCTGGTAATGACATAATGGTTTACTCAATTATATCGAAACTATAATAAAATTAAATAGTTAGCTGATAATTGATTTATTGGATTCGTAATCGTCCTATATTTCCTATATTTATTAAAAACGTGAAAAACCGACTGTTTTTCACGTTTTTCTGTTTTTACAAGTTTTCTGCTGTACAGTTGAC